AGACACAAAACAACAAACAAGAGATAAATAGACTCAAGCACAGACACAAAACAACACAAAACACCAAAAACAGTACCCAAGACATACAAACAGCACATAAAACAACACAAACTACACCAAAAATGACAAAAATGAGACTCAAAACAACAAACAGGACAAAACGACTCAAGCTGAGACTCAAAACAACACAAATAGGACATAAAATGACATAAAACAACACAAACTAGACCAAAAACGACAAAAATGAGACTCAGAATGACACAAAACACCCCAAACAGGACATACAACTACACAAACAAGCTCCAAAACAACACGAACTAAACACAAACTGAAGCTACATGAAGAACATTTGGTGTAAAATTCTGCAACAGACATTTTGCATCGTTGTGTGTCTGTTCAGAGTGTGTTGTTAAATCTGCTTTTCTTTCCTTTATCGACCTTTTGGACTTTTCTGTGTCACTATGATCAAAACCCTGCGACCCATCAGTTGTAGATTTTAAGTTTACGTCTCAGAAGCTTCTCTAACTTCTATTTTTGGGTCTAATTAACAGGATTCATTATAAATACACGTGTGGTTTGTGGCGGCTGCAGCTTCCTGACAGCTCGGGGGTCTCCGCAGACCTTCCCGGACGTGAATCATCGTCTAAATCTAAATGTAGACGAGCACATTTACATGGACGGGAAGCCCGGGCTAATTCTGGTGGCGCGACGCCGAAAAGATTCCCCCAAATCGATTAGCGTTACCAGAACAGGAAGCGGTTTGAAACGAAGAAGTTGGGCCTCTGCTCGGTGGTTTTTGGGTTTTTTAAATTCTCTCCAGGATCTGCAGAGTTCTTTTTCTGTTCCTGGTTCTGGACTCAGACGTCCACCGAGCCGCTGCAGCGGTTCTAGTTTACAGAACCGAGCTGATTTGAGTAGTTTAAAGGATTAAAACGCCTAATTTCTCAGACTTCAGCCACTTGAATGCAAATATTTTGTTTTTTTCTTTCCTTCTTTATAACAGTAAACTTTACATGTTTGACTTGTGGGGAAACGGACACCCTTTGAACCATTTCCTGTCGCTTTATGGACAAAATAACTGTAAAATGTACAGAATTCAAAATACTCTGGAAAATAATCAAACAATCAAACGACCTGCAGCTGAATTAGGTTCTAAAGTTTCCTGATTGGACAGAAATCTCTGCATTTTCCTCTGATTTATGACGTTTTGATGAACAAAAATGTGTGACATGCTTCAATAAATAAGCCTTTAATTAATATATATACATTCTCTTCTATCAAAAAAACTGGACTTTTTCATAAAATCTGTATAATAGTCATGATAACGATCGTTTTAATTGATTTCATACGTATAAATTTACCATCACACCATGTTATAAAACATCACATCACTATTTGACGGGGATGATATTTACAGTTGGCTGCTGTTTGTCATGATTAAATGTAAATTAATCCGTGTTTTTCTGCAATTGTACAAATTACTATTGTTATTTTAACAGTTCAGTAAATTCTTTACCATTTTCCGATCCTTAATATTCACTCACCGGCCACTTTATTAGGTCCATCTGTCCAACTGCTCGTTAGTGCACATTTCTAATCAGCCAATCACATGGCAGCAACTCAATGCATTTAGGCATGTAGACATGGTCAAGACGATTTGCTGCAGTTCCAACTGAGCATCAGAATGGGGAAGAAAGGTGATTTAAGTGACTTTGAACGTGGCATGGTTGTTGGCTGGTCTGAGTATTTCACAAACTGCTGATCTACTGGGATCTTCACGCACAACCATCTGTAGGGTTTACAGAGAATGGTCCGAAAAAGAGAAAATATCCAGTGGGCGGCAGTTCTGTGGGCGCTGTGGGCCTTGTTGATGCCAGAGGTCAGAGGAGAATGGACAGACTGGTTCGAGCTGATAGAAAGGCAACAGGTACTCAAAGAACCACTCATTACAACCGAGGTATGCAGAATAGCATCTCTAAACGCACAACACATCGAACCTTGAGGCGGATGGGCGACAGCAGCAGAAGACCACACCGGGTGCCTCTCCTGTCAGCTAAGAACACGAAACTGAGGCTATAATTCACACAGACTCACCATAATTGGACAATAGAAGATTGGAAAACGTTGCCTGGTCTGATGAGTCTCGACTTCTGCTGCGACATTCGGATGGTAGGGTCAGAATTTGGCATCAACAACATGAAAGCATGGATCCATCCTGCCTTGTATCAACGGTTCAGGCTGCTGGTGGTGTAATGGTGTGGGGGATATTTTCTTGGCACACTTTGGGCCCCTTAGTACCAACTGAGTATCGTGTCAACGCCACAGCCTGCCTGAGTATTGTTGCTGACCATGTCCATCCCTTTATGACCACAGTGTACCCATCTTCTGATGGCTACTTCCAGCAGGATAACGCGCCATGTCATGAAGCGTGAATCATCTCAGACTGGTCTCTTGAACATGACAATGAGTTCACTGTACTACAACGGCCTCCACAGTCACCAGATCTCAGTTCAATGGAGCACCTTTGGGACGTGACGTGCAGCTCAAATCTGCAGCAACTGCGTATTGCTATCATGTCAATATGGAGCAAAACCTCTGAGGAATGTTTCCAGCACCTTGTTGAATCCATGCCATGAAGGATTAAGGCAGTTCTAAAGGCAAAAGGGGGTCCAACCCGGTACTAAGCAAGGTGTACCTAACAAAGTGGGCGGTGAGTGTTTATCATTTCTCTGTCAAATAACAGGACTTTTAAATAACATCTGTATAATAGTCATAATAACGATCACTGTAATTGATTTAAATGCAGCAAAATTGTGTAAAATCATCAAATTATTTACAATTTTGCATTTTTTCCCCCAGATTAAATGTAAATTAATCTTTTTTCCTGCAGTTTAACAAGTTGTTATTGTTAATTTAACAGTTGAATAAAATATTTTCTATATTTTTTAGTCCTTTAATATCTGTCGTTCATCTTTCAAATAACAAATAATCATAAAAATATTTTAAAATCCATCGATGAAGTCCAAAAAAGTTCCATTTCCTACAGGTTTAAAATCTCATTCTGTTGATAAATCCAATAAAATAAGAAAAGCTGCATTATTTTATGATTTTCAGACGTCCTGATCACTGTAATAATAATAATAATAATAATAATAATAATAATAATAATAATAATACATGATTTATTGATTGAGACATCAAACAGCTGACCAGGAGGGAATCCCACATTTAGCTCACGGAGCAGAAAGTTTTTTTTCTCTTTTTTTACATGAGGACAGGAAAAGTGTTTCCTTCTCTCACTTCCTGTTTTCCGTCTTTATAAACTCGTCTGTTTCCTCCGTCGACACTGAGATCGTCTCTGAGCTGAACGATGAACACGATGAACAGAACTGTGCTGCTGCTGGTGGCGCTGACGCTGTGCTGCTGCCTGGCCGGCCTCGACGGTGAGTCCTCAGCTGTAGGAAGCATCTGCTCAGAGAGAGCAGCAGGAAGGACATTCGCCTGAGTTTCATTGTTTTATTTAAGAAGGAAAAAACAATCTAAATTGTCAGATTTCAGAAACTGTTTTCTGTTTTTCTTTTTGCAGCATTTTTCTCCCGTTTTAGAGACGAAACAACGAATCGATTAATCGAGAAAATGATAAAATAGTTGCAGCTCTAATTATCGATTTGTTTTTTTTTGTAGTTATTTTACTGATTTAAAAAAAAAAAACGTAGTCTGCTAAAATTTATTTATGAATCAATTTCAACATTTAATTCTCTCATTATATTTGATCTGGTGTTACACTTTTATACTGTTTTACTACATGATTTTTCATTATTATCATTGTTATTTTTACCCTACTACATACTACTACTTTATAGGACTGATCTGTGTTTTTTTTTTAGTTTTATTTGATTGAATGGTAAACTTCTCTGTATACCTAAACTGAATTATTTAATTTAAAAAATATATAATTTCAGTTTAATTTAGTAAAATTTAAATTTTACATTTTATTTTATTATTTTATTTACATATTACACTTTTACTACTTATACACTATTAATTTATTTTTAAAATAATTGTTTTTATTTATTCAGATTTTTATTTTTTTTTTAACCTACTCTACATTATTCCTTTTATAAAACACATAAATTACACTATTTTGACTAGAACTGCAGCTAAAAGTATGTTAACAAAGAACAAAGCTGTTAAATCTTCAGTTGTGTTGGTGGACATAAACGTTCTGTTGAGTCAAAGTTAATTAAAAAAACCTCAGCGTTCTCTGAGTTGCTTTTTTCTGGATCTTAATTGAGCTAGTTTCTGGTTTTCTGCTAAAAGCTGCACAACAAGCAGGAAGGAGCAGGACTGAAGCTCCACTTCACATGTTGGTTTGTGTTTTCAGTGTTGCAGATAAAAACCTTTAAATCAGTCTGTTCCTGTTTCTGTTTTCCAGCCGTTGCCCTTCATCGCTGCCGTTGCCTCCGGACGGTTTCTCATCGTGTCCCTGCTCGAGTGGTGAAGAAGATCGAGGTGACTCCGGCTTCAGGTCACTGCCGCCGCACCGAGATCCTGTAAGTCCTGATGCAGGAGAGTAGATTTACTCGAGTACCAGTAACTGAAGCTACGTGTCTGTTTTACGCAACTTTTTCAATTCTCCTCCAGTTTCAGTTTCTTTAAAATGAAAACGAATCAGAAAAGTGTCGCTAGAAACTGAATTTGAACCATTTCTTTTTAAATGACCAAATGAAACTCGTCAGTTTTAATCCTATAACTTCATTTGAACGACTAAATGTAGTTTGACTTTGTCCCAGTGCACTTTCAGAAGGATCATTATGAGACTGAATTCAGGTGATGTGAGAATGAGTTTGATCATTTGAACTCTGAACGTTCAGTTTTTACAAATGAAACATGGTTGTTGTGGAACAGACGTCTGAATTCAGTCTCAAAATATCACATTCAGTTTCAAGTTTATTGGAATTCAGTTTAAGTAGATGATAAATTTAAATTCTGACAGACTAATCTGATTATTTTTAGCACTATTTACTATTTACTATTTAAATCGAGCTATTCTCAGTCATATAAATCATCTAAACTCAGTTTCTAGTGGCACAAATTACTGCAAAGAAGTAGTGAAATAAATAAATATCACATTTAAAGCCTCTGTTACATCAATAAATGTGAAGTTTTTCTACATTTAACGGCTGCAGCAGCTCAAAACTGGTTTGTTTTTAATCATTGTAATAATTTATCTAAACGTCATCCAATAAAAACTGGTTTCTCCTCAGAATCCTGAAGAAGAGCGGCTCCACGGTTTGTGTCGACCCGGACGCCAAGTGGTTCCCAGAACTCCTGAACGCTCTGCAAAAGTAAGAAGCCCACATTTGATTTTACTTCTATCTGCAGTTGAATCCAGATATGGACTTCTGGTTTAAGACACGGAGCGTGTACACGTGAACCTGTGCTGCTGCTCTCAGAGGTTTTAATGGTCCTAAACCTCTTTGTGTGTTTGTTGGTGGTCGGGGACTCGCGTCTTTACGTTTCCACGTCTGCGCTCAGTTGTTGCTCCAAATTCCAGCTTTCTAGTCGACGTTCTGGAGCCTGAAGTCTGTTAAAGTCTGCAAGAGTTCAGTCCTGCAGCATCCTGTAGAGCTGCAGCCAGATCCTGAGTTGTGTTCCTCTGAAAGACGGTTAAAATGTGAGAAAACACAACACAGAAGGAAACAAAGAGGAAAAAATAAACAAAAAAATCAGACACACAACAAGAGAAACAGAAGAAAATTACAAATTAGGACACAAAACAAAACAATCCAAAACCACGTAATGACACAAACGAAAACAAAACTTACAACGAGATAGAAAACGACACAAGCTGGACACAAAACAACACAATGAGATGGAACAAAACAATGCAAACGACATACAAATGACAAAATGAGAGTTAAAACAACAAGCGAGACGCACAACAATCCAAACAAAACACAAAACAACAAAGAATGAGGCGGAAAATAACGAAAAACGAGACATAAAATGACGAAAGACAGAAAATAACGCTAACTGACAAACAAGACAACAAATGAGACACAAAACAACACAAATAAGACATAATTGGCTAAAATGGACACAAAACAATACAAACAAAACACAAAACAACAGAAATGAGACATACAATAACAAAATTAGACCAAAAAAATACCACAAACTGACAAAAACAAGACGGAAAAGAACGCAAACACAACACAAACAAGACATATTCAACAAACGGACACAAAACTATACAAACAAGACACAGAACCCCGCACGACAAGATGCGAGAAAACCCACTAAGATGACAAAGAGGAGACACAAGCTGGTAAAAAAAAATGTAACACAACTTGACAAAACCAGACAGTTAATGTAGATTAAGGCGGCAACGTGACATAGAACCTAAACTATGATCAGATTTTTACACTGTTGTTGTTTTAGGCAAAAAATAGACAAAATGACGTCTGTCCTGGTTTGTAGATGCGTTTTTAACTCACTGCAAATCCTTCAGAATAGAATTTGTTTTGCCAGTTAAATGTTTGCATCAACAGCAACCTAATTTAATACTTTATACCCTCGTTCAGCAACTAAAACCTCCTGAACAGACATATTTAAACTAAACTCCTCCAGACTGACACTTCATTAGAAATCTGAAACATCAACGCTGAGCTTTCGGGACGTGTTTGGGATTTAGAGGCACCAAAATCAAATGAAGAAATCACACTTCTACTGACTTCCTTCTACATTTCTGATCATTTTGTTCCCAAAGATGTGTATTTACTGGTTGTGTTGTTGTGTCTGAAGGACGGGCTGCGCCAAGAACGGGGCTAAGTCCTGTGTTCACCGTCGCTTATTACGATAATGGTAATAAAAACCCCATTGTTCTGTATGTTGTCATCACTGTCGCGTCATCCCTGATCACCACGCAACACCGAGCTGCTGATTCTGCTTTATTATCCACTCGGCTTCTTTTTTAAAATCATTTTTGTTCCTTCTATTGCAGGAAAAACGCGACTTTCAACTCCACCGCTTCACCACCGACTTCCTCCGCAACCGACTTCTGATTTTTTTGTTTTAGTTCTGGTCGAGTTGATCGAAGCTGTGAATTAACAGAAGGAAGCTGAGCCACTCTGAAGTCCTACAAATGCTTTTGTTTTTGGTGCGATTTGACATCTTTTAGTTTAGTTTCTTCATTTAACCAACTGTTGTAATGTTTTAAATGATAATAACGGTGTACAAACTTGGTCTTGGTGCAGCATTTTAAGCCTGAACTACTGAAATTAGCTAATATTTGTTGTTAGGAACTCTGAAATTAAACAGTTTGAATGTTAAAAATTAAATGAATGTGTTGTGTAAGTAAAAAGATGTATTTTTGGTAAAGACTTAATAGAATTTATTCAGCATGTTGATGACATTTTTGAAGGTGCTGTAATGTCTAACATGCATCTGTATGTTTTTTTCTAAATAAAGAAATAAATGACAGACAACAAGACTCTTCAAAAAATGACATTTTATTGCCTACAGGGGTTTGGGGAGAGTCGGGCCGAGTGTGGACAGATGAGACAAGTGCTGCTGAGCATGTTTGGTTTCAACTGAGGCGCAACTGCTCACGTACGAAATACAGATTCGGCTTTTTGTAGAAGTCCTCGTGGAAATGTTGTTTTTCCACATCACTGCTTTTTTGTGCAAAGAATAAGCCAAACAAGTAGCTTTACAAGGCCTCCAGGCTCCTAAGTTCTTAACCTAAATCACCTTTTTAGATTAAAAAAAACAAACAAACAAAAAAAACCTCAAGTAAATAACCAAAGTCAACTTTTTTGGATGACAATTTATCTAATTTGATCAATTCTCCCTAAAAAAGTGCTTTGGTGATGCTTTACTGCTTAAAATTGGGGACTTGTATGAGAAAGTTTGTAATAAAGTTGGTTGAAATCTCTACACAACACCTGGGTTGCAGCTAAACAGTCCAAAAAAAATTACTTTTACTTTCCAACCAGTCCCCGCAGAATGGACTGTACCTTATTTATAGATGCTGGGCGGCAAAAAAAATGCTCTGGCTTGTTGTTCATTTCTTTAAAACAATCATCTTGCGCAGTGCTAAGCCCAGGATTCAGGGATGGTGCCCCAACAAAACAGTGATGAGGTAATTGTTTTGGTGGAACATTTGCACGCAGCGAGACTAAGAAAAAGTAATTTTTTGGACTGTTTTGAAGACCAAAGTGAGGAAAAGCTGGTTGAATTCACTGCAGAACATCTGGGTTGAGGTTGAACATTTACCTTTCCTTGTATAGTCAGACCCATCTCCAGAGTGCTGTTATCGCTGGAAAATGGTCTAACTGCATCTCATCATTTTGCTATATCAGGTACAAAAAAACGCTCTGACTTGTTTGTACTTCTTTAAACCAATCACAGTTGCTGTGAATGGAGCTAAGCCCAGGATGCAGTGATGGTGCCCCAACAAAACAGTGACGAGGTAATCGCTTCGGTGGAACATTTGCACCCAGCGAGACTAAGAAAAAGTAATCTTTTGGACTGTTTTGAAGACCAAAGTGAGGAAAAGCTGGTTGAATTCACTGCAGAACACCTGGTTGCAGCTGACCGTTTACTTTTCCTCGTATAGTCGGACCCATCTCCAGAGAGCTGTTATCACTGGAGACTGGTCTGACAGCAGCTCATCATTCTGCTATACGAGGGAAAAAAAAACAAAAGTCCCCCCAAAATCCCCCAAAAAAAACCCCAAAAAAATCCCAAAAAAAGCCAAAAGGTCCAACCTTTGGTAAAAAAACCCAATAAAAGAAACGTTTAAAAAAAAAAAAAAAAAATCCTTTAACCCAAGCCCTTGAACGTCTTAAGAAAATGTTTTGACTGTTGGTTTGAGAACGTTTTTAATTTATCGCACAACCTTAAAACGTGGTCCAATTTAAACATGTAACCTCACAGGAACATGATTTAAAATAAGAAATATCCCTAAAAACGTTCTTTGAACATTACAATATAAATGCTTTCTTTATAACGTTATTAGAGGGTAACGTTAGCTGATGTTGTGGAAACGTTCCCTGCTTGATCGGGTGCAATTTAGTGCCGAATATCCTGAAACCTGGTGGAGATGTGGAACATGATTGGAGGTAGAACCTATGAAACATTTTGCAGCACATCCAGGTGATTTTATTTAAAAACGGCGAGAAAATTCATTGACTTTGGTGGAGAACTGCGCTCTGCTATTCCAGTTTATTTCGATATGCACAATATCAATATGCTGTTCTGCTTTTTTTTTTTTTTTTTGGAAAGCTGCGATGATTTTTGTTATAAAAAAACAAAAAAAACAAATCATCCTTTGCTGATTTCAATGTTTTCTTCCGGTGATTCATTCGTGAGTTGGCGGGGAGATTCCTAAGCGGGACCTCTACGAAGCACAAATCTGTATTTCGGCTTCTTTTCAGTCAGACGAACACAAGGAACACAGCACCGCCACCTACGTTAGACAAACTTTCACTCTGCGTCGCTGCACATTTCGCACCTTTTTCTTTTTGACATTTAATCGTCAGAAAACACGATGCACACTTTGGCTTCCTCGATACAAAAAACAACCTGCCTGGTCTGCAGCTCTTGGCCACACAGCTGCGCGGCGTTTCCCTCCAAACAAACGGACGGAAAACCGAATGTGGCGAAAAACTGCACATCAGAAACCTCTTTCTTTTTTTTCTTTTCAAAAACAAAGTGCGGCTCTTTGAAATCCTCCCGTGAAATAAACGTAGCACCTTATATTTTTTTTTTTATCAGTGACTGCTGGTGGCTAAAGATCCCGGATTTACTCGATTGAACAAATCTTCTCGAGGAAACAAACTGCAGAAATAACAGCCTTTGCATTCCTTCGTCTTTAAGTTTGCAGGGAAAGACTCGAAACTTTTCCCCGTTTGTATCCTGTTTTTTTTTCCAAAACTCCAGCAAATGAACCAGTGCATTAAACTGCGGTTGCATCACCTCAACTCAGATTGTGCATAATCCTCATTTTCACCAGAATAGTTTTTTTTTTTTTTTTTTTGCAGTTTTAAAACTTGTACAGGTTAATACACTGGGAAGACAACATTCATGCAGCATCTTTTAGGTTTGGATGCAGCGTTCTGGCCAATTTTGTTAAAACACATTAACGACAACAAATCCTTTGGCCAAAAATGCAAAAAAAAAAGAAAAAAAAAAAGAAGCTTGGTATCGGATCTAAAGTAGCCACCACATGTTAACCAGTCTGAATCAACAGCGGAAGAACAAAAAATGGATAAAATCTGATATCGAACAACAGGATTTTTCTTTTTTTTACATTCAGAAATCGCATGTGATCGAGTGTGCATTTAGAAACTAGTCAAAGAAACCGAGGAGGAGAAAAAAAACCAGAAACCAGTCTGAGTTGAGCAACGATTCCTCAGTTTGAATTCCTCACAATCTCATCCCCAAGAGGTGGAGGGATGACAGGATGGAAGAGGTGGATGGATGGATGATGGATGGATGATGGATGGATGAGGGATGGATGAGGGATGGCTGGATGATGGCGCTGGGTTAATCTCTGAGCGTCTTGGTCTCATGGGCAGTGCTGCTGTTGGAGAAATTGTACAAACTAGGCACGTTGTTTGTAGAAAAAGTATATGAGGTGCGCTCGACGGAGACGGAAATCAAACAATTTAGTCGCTTACAGGTGACGATGGAAGCTAATCTGCAAAAAACCATCTCAGAGCTTTGAGAGAGAAAAGAAAAAAAGCCACAAAGCAGCTTTGAAACCTCTTTTTTTTTTTCTTCCTCAAAAACTCGTTAATACTGAATTGTACAAATTGAAAGACTTTTGCATGATGGAAAGAAAATGCCCGTCGTCGTCGTCGTCGGGGAGAAAAAAAAAAAGTCAAGGTGGCGTTATTCACACCGGGCAAAGGAAAGTTTAAAAAATAAAACACCTTTTCTTTTGTTTTTAATCAGGAGAATGGTACATTCCTCCTCGCAGGTGTAAAGACCCCTGTCGATGTTTTATGTACAGACGTCGTACGAAACCCTGTGACATTGGTTCAGGAGTGAAGTATAAGCCTCAAAACGCTCAAAGACTCTGTTTTAAAGCTGAGGTTACAGGATCCCAAAACTATGGCTTTGTTCTTTTCATGCTAATTTCAAACAGTCGGGGTTCAATAGAAACCAGGGCTGGGCGTCCAACCACAAAACAAAGATCTTTCTAAATGAATTCTATCATCACAGTTTGATTGAAATCCAACTTTTCAGAACAATTTCTGCTCAACAGTCTCTTAATTTGGGATTTTAACAGCAGAAAATGTGAATATTTGCAAAAATATTTGAAGTTTTAGCTCCAACTGTGGAATAATTTTAAATGATAAACTTGTACGATTGTATTAATCATTTGAATGTTGCGGTTTGATTTGGAATTTTTCAACTTGAATAACCATATGGATTTTTAAAAGAATTTTGCGATGTGAAATTGAATCTCTCAACTTGAATAATTTTACCACAAACTTGAATTTGAATCTTGAAATTCAGATTTAAATTTCTCAACTTGAATAATTGTACAAAAATTCAAATTCAAGTTTTTAGTTCAGTTATTTATCAACTTGAATAACTAAAAATAAACTTTGGATATAATTTAAAATAATGTTTTTGGTGTCTGTGAAATTTTCCCTATTTTCCGAGATAAAGGGTTTTTAAAACGTGCTGATATCTGATCTGCTTTCAAAATGTTTGTTTCACATTTTACAATTGAAGCTGTTTGAACAACAACATCTGAGCAACTGAAATTTTAAAATAAAGTTTTATCGTAGTTATATTTGGAGAATCTTTTTTTTTCTTTACTTCTACCAGTATTTTTTGGTTTTTGTCAAACCTTCATCAGTTGTGACTGTTCAATAAAAATACATCATATTTATACGTTACATGTTTTTATTCAGTTAAACTTAAACCAGCTGACGTCCTCGACACCAGTGGAACCTCTCCTGATTGTTTACTGCAGATTCTACCGGGTTTTTTCCTGCAAACAAAATATCAGTGGAGCCAAAATGATGAAAACTGAGAATTTAAAGA